GAGCCATCCTTCTTATCACTTGCAGTTATTTCTCCTGTAAGACTGGAAGCTTATCTTTTTCTCTCCCCCCCCCCCCCCCCTTTTTTTTTTGTTTTGCTTAAGAATACCTTCTGATAGTATTTTGTAAGACACAAGTGAAGTTGGACAGTGCTCATAAGGAAAATTTCAACCTCGGGTCAATCAAACTATTCCTAACATGGGTTTACCAGGTGGCCTAAACCTCTGCTGTTGGGCCCATCAGCTTATCTCGGTATCTAATGGTAAGAGAGAAAGTGAGATATCATCTCGTCATAAACTCTTGCTAGAATCTCAGCCCATAGTGGCCTCTGCCCTTCCTTGGGCACAAGATTGGTTCTAAACATAGCTTAAAGCCTAAGAATACATTTTGTTATTGCATCCTGCTCAGCCTGCTATCTCATCTTGTGTTGCTGCTAACTCAGCATAAACTTACTCTTCAGGACCAAGTATAACCGTAAAAGAGATGAGAGTATTAAAATAAGAGATTAACTTCTTACCTGGATATAGTGCAATCTTTAGAAGTAGAAATATAGCTGAAATGTTTAAACTGGAGTGAGATGCTAGGCAAATAATAATTGGATAAAAATGCAGAGGGGAAATTCTGAAGAGAAAGCTTGTAAGTACCTGATCTGGAAAGAAAAATAGGAAGCCTTTTTGCAAGAGCCAAAATTATTTTTTTCTTTTTTTCTTCAATAGAGTGCCTTTTCCATGTGAGAAATATTGTTCACTTTGCCTGGGAAACTTCATTGCCTTCCCCTAACTTCTGACTTATTTCTGTTTGTCTTTGAATCTAATTTAAAATGAGAGCAGGTGGATGTTTTAGGGAGCAGAATGACTGTATGTAAAGCATAGAATGAAAATGAAGAGTTAATGTTTCTTTGTCCAGTTGTGTCCTAGATAATTAAGTGATTTTGACCAAATTCTCTGGTTTTCCTTGTTTTCTTCTGTTAAGTAAGAGGTCTAACCTGATCTTTTCTATGAGCTTGACGCCATTAATAGTTAAAAAGTTGAGATTTTCTTGTGGTAAGCAACAAAAATACAAAGAGCTGTAGCTTTGGATTTAATCATTTGTACAGAAGGGGTGATAAGAGGATGGGTGTGTTTGTAAGAGAAGGTATTTTTGTTGTAGAATACAAGGGATTTTTCCATTTCTTAGTGGCCTACGTGCGATAGGAAGAACGGAAGCCACCCTCATGCAGTATGGAGCTGCTCCCAGCCTGCTGTAGTAGTGGCATTTATGGCACCTCCATCTCCCCTTCTTCAAAGGTGCAGGCTGAGGAACTAACGATCGTGGTGTAGTTGTGACCCTGCTACTACACCGAGGGTCATTTCCAGCCTTCACTTGGTAGCAGCTGACCTTTTTTTTGTCACACAATTAAATGATTTAGCCCACAAGTTCTGAGTCCCAAAACTGATGTGGTAAAGCAGGTAAATTTTATGCTGGTAAAAAGTTGTTGGTTGTTTTTAAAGATTTTTTTTTTATATATTACAGTAATTTCACCTGCTGTTTATTCACACACTAATACTTTGCCAGCAGCAAAGTAAGTTCTTGTATTGGTTTATAGATCACTTATATTTTTTTCAGCTGCCCACCAAACTTGACCTAAAAATGCCAGAATCCTTTGGGAACACTGCAGGAGTCCTTGCATTTAGTATTAACTGGAAACATTCTGAAATTCCTCCTAAAGCAGCCTAACCCTGCACACCTTTGAACAAATGCTCGATTCCCACACTAACCTGTTATCCACCTGCCTGACCCTCAGCTCTTAGGCACTTCTGCAATTTTAACTCATTTTTATACTCAAATGTGGTTTTCATACTTCTTGACTCCCATTCCTTTAAAAAAAACCACAGGTGTGATCAAAACTTTGTTTTGTTCTTGTTTTTAATTTTAATTTCCCTTACTTAACTTTTCCCCCTTTTTTTTTTTTTTTAAAATATCTGCTGTTTACCTCCTTTTATCTGTGTCCATTTCTTTCTAATCTGTTCTTTCTCTGAAGTTCATTTTTTGTCTGTGAGCTTTGGCTGCTTTCTCTCAACCGAGCAATATGAAGCAGCTGTTAGCTCGGTGTAGGCAGCCAGGGAAGCCTAGTTCGTGGTGGTTGTCCAACACTGGAGGCAGTAACCCCAAGCTCTGTTTTCTCTCTGTTTGCCTTTTCCAAGTTCTGTCTCCTCACCCTTCTTCCTCTCCTACTGTCTCTATTCTCCTCTTCAGTCTTCTCCAATCCCTGTAGCCTTAAGTTTCCTTTTTCTCCACACCTTATCTTTCTTTATCAGTAAATTTTCCTTATTCCACAATTTTCTGGGGAAAAAAAGGTCTCTACAAATAGATCTGATCCACATACAAAACTCAGAAGAGAGTAAAACCTGTAGTTATGTAGCCTAAAAAATAAAATAGGTCAGACAATAAGCCAAGGAAAAATAGGGCTGAAGTGCTGGAGGCGTTTAGGTAGAATTTGCCATAACAGAGATGGATTAATATGGATGTATCATGGTAGCAAAAAGAAATAATTTAAATACAGAGGAAAAATACTAGTAGAATTTTGGGGCAGAAAATTCCTTGAAGGGTCGTCATATGTTTCCCTCTTAAATACTTTTAATACTAATTTGCTTACTTTGCTTTTGCTTAATAGGAACAAAATTCTGATTACCCACCATTAACTGTTTCTGTCTCTTCAGGAGTTCTGGGCTCTCCAGGATCTGGGTAAACACAAGTTATTTTCAGAATGGGTTACTATGTACCTCTTGAGATTAAATCGGTAAGTCTGATGCAGTTTCAAGTGTAAAAATAACACCAGATGTGTATTGGCCAGAAGCAGGCAACTTGAATCTGCAGTGATTTTCCACAACCTTTAGCGGGTCTGGGAAACTGGCCCAAACATGGTTTCACGTGCCTTTTTTTGTCTTTATGGTTCTGGATTGTGCTAGATTCAATAATAGTTACTATTGTAGTTCTGTTTTGACACACAGGTACATAAAAATGACACGGGAGGAGTGGTCTGTGGTTTTTGTCCTTCATTGAGCAACTGATCAGATTTTTTTGGTTAATAATTTTTGCTAAAATACCAGTCCTACAGATTCAGTCCAAGAATCACAAACAGGCTTTGCAAATACATAGGAATGAATAATGTGTCATTACTGGTAATACATATATTTTTTACTGTGTAGTAATATTGCTTTAGTATGACAGGGGGTGGAAGTTGAACAGTTGTGAATACACAGACCCGCTGGTACTGCCTAGGTAGGGACGTGCATGTTAGAGCTTCTACCAATTCTTTTGTCTTAAATAAAAAAAGAATGTAACGTGTTTTCCTTAGTCATATATGGTATGCATGGCTGATAGTAGTGAAAAGAAGTACATATCAAGTACTTGGAAATTTTAGTCAGTAAATAAAATTCTTCAAAAAATCAATACAAGATACAAAACCTACAGGAAAGTGTGCAGTTTTTTTCAAGTCTAATCATTCTTAGAGATTCACACCTGCTTCCACTGAACACAAAAGCAGAACACAATGATTTTAATAAAAGTCAAATACAATATTTCTAAAAATAAGCATAACCCTTATTAGCTAAAGCACTTTCTTTTTTCTTCTTTTGGTTTGTTTTTAATGTATAGTAACAAGGGTGATTCAGACACCAAGAGAAGAACAAGAATGACAAGTGAGTAAAACAATCCAAAGGAATCATATGCTTGGAGATGGCAACTATCTATTTACATAGGTTTCTTTAGTGTTAGTTGTTTTTCCTTTTGAGGAGAACTAAAATACACTGTTTTTCTGAAGCGGAGAAACTCTCATTATGCTGCTGCAAATCTTGTAATACTATACATCCACTGTAGCTATCTCTGCTTTCGCCCACTCTTGTGATTAGAATCTAGCCATGTGTGTATGGCTAGACCTGTGAATATATATCTACTTTTTACATAAGTTAATGATCGAGAAGTTCCTTGGCTACAGTGAGGCTTCCTTCCGCCTTAGGAATCTTCCCTTTCCCTTCCTTAAAAAAAAATAAATCCTTAATTTAATTGTCTGTGTTTATGAAGAAATTGGCCTGGCCCAAACCCCTTCTGTTGTGAATATAGTCGTAGTGATACCGGTTGACTGAGGCCGAAGAGTGTGAGATCATGGAAATGCACTGCAGCTACTAGTCCAAGTTGCTCTTCTTTAGATTCCGCTGGTTTGGAATGACAGAGCACATGTCCATTCATATTTTGGGTGACTGAAATCACAAGTGATGAAGACCTCATGAAGAAGGCTTTTCCTGTCAGTATCCACAAAGGCTGCTCTGACCTGTGTCACACCGTATGTGAATATAGGCATTGAAGCAATCTAACTCAGCTGTCCAGCTATGGTCTATTCCATATCAATCCTCATTTACCTACTTGTTTATTTTTCTTTATTTTTGTTTACCTTTTTTGTATTTCTTTTCTCCCTCAATTTTTTTAGCCCCTTTTTTACAGTTTCCATTTGGGGGTTCAGGAGATGCCAGGCCTCCAGCTTGTTCCATGCTTTGGTGCTCGTGGACTTGATTCGTTTTTTTTCCCCATGTTGATTCCCTTTAAGAACTTAAGAATTATTGGCCTGTGGGAACATGGTCGTCTGTATCTTGTTATGTCTCAAGTGGGGCTTCACCTTAGTGTCTTGAAATGGTGGATGCGCTCTGGCTGCTCCCCAAGTTGGAACTCTTCATTGCAAAGTAGGGTGCTCCCTGAAAGGGCCCCTAGGATTTGATTTCCTTGTGAGAAATGCCCTTCCTCTTCTGCTGTATCTGCTTTTCCTGAGTGCAAGCAGCACCTTTTCCTTGATCTGTAGTTTCTTCCTTTATCAGTCTGAATGCATCAGTTTGCATTGCTCAGAAGAACATTGTTCTTCTCCAGTGATGCACTTTTTTTGATAACATCAGGAAAGATTCTGGTAGGCATCCTGTACTGGCTCAATGGACTAAGATGTGTCTGAGTGTTCAAATATGTCCAAATCCTTTCTATATGTTAAAAAGAATTCAGGTTTCTGGTAGGCACTCACTTTTTTTTTCTGCACCTGGAGAAAAAACTCCTTACTTGTGAGAGGACTATCTAGTCATGGAAGTCAAAGGTACTTTAATCCTCAAAGTTATTCTAAATATAAAATGGTAGAGGTACTACATTGAACTGTCTATCACAGCAGAAACAGTGGATATGAAATTGTAAGAATTATTCAGGGAGATATTTTTTTGGATCTGCAGTAAGCTTGGTAAATTTGTGAAACTTGCCTATAAAAGACAATGAGCAACTGAAAATCTCTGGCCAAAAGAGAATGAAGGAAATGCAGGATCTGATCAAATTCTGCACAAGAGGTATTATAAGGTTCAATGTTACGCTGCTTTGCAGGGTGTTTTATTCTCATTTCTAACAGAAATGGCTGTACTCTTTTGTTAGATATTGATTGGCTGCTTTCTTCAAAAGCTTTAAGTGATTAAGTAGGAAAAGGCAGGAGACAGCACTGACTTTCAGTAGTAAGATAGTAAAAACTACATAGGGCACAATTTATCATCCCATGGACCTTCAAGTTTGCATCCAGATTTTCTAGCCAAGGCTGTATTCATTTTTAAGAACACTAATTACAATTTTACATGTATTTTTTAGAAAGTTAATTTTTAGACAGTTACCAAGAAGAAAAGTTTGGTTTATTATTTGTATTTTGGTAGGGTTAAGAAGTTTCAACTGTGGGACTCTGAGGCTCTTAGCTCAACTACTGTTTTGAGGTTTCGACCTCCCCTGGTTTCCTCACCTAAAATGTAATGCTGAAAACTGTATAAACACATTTTATTTTTCTATTTTTTTTGAATACGCTTTTAGAGAAGATCATGACATTCTGAGTTTTTATTCCAAATCAGAAAGGATCCTAGTTTGGGGATGATCTTCTGCAAACCAGCATCGCGTTATTCCAGACGCACCTTGGAGGATCTTATAATACAGAAGACAGAGGAAATGAGGAAAAGGTTTTGCCTCCAGGATCACACTTGTGCTAGTGGTCTCAGTTTTGGTAGCAGTCCAAAACTTGATACACAAAGATTCATGGTTAAGTTAGTTAAGTTTTCTTCCATGTGATCAGTCATCACTCTCTATTCATACAGCAGAGCTGCAGAAGTTTCTAACAGGCTACTGATGTTAATTTGTTATTGTTTTATTTAAAATTTAATTTTCCTTTTAAAATCAACAAATCTTGTTACATTTTTGCTAGCTGCTCTATATTATAGTGTGACTGAAGTTTCTTACATAGTTTTTTTTGTTGTTGTTGTTACTCTCTTTTACATCTATACATTTAAATAGATCTCCTAGATGCCCCTTGTGGTCTCTTTAATTTTTTTTTTTTGTTGTTTAAGTATTTACTTGTAACAGCTCTCCCTTGTCAGTACAACTTGCAGCAGAAATCTGGTTCAACCCAGTCACCTGTGCATTTTTACCCAGCATTTCATGTTAAAGACAAAACTGTCGTGGCCCTCTAGATTTTTATATGGGTTGGTAAGTCCCACTAAATATCGTATTGCTGTCTTTAGTATCGACTGACCTTGAGTATATTGCCATTAACAGCTCATTATTCATCACCTTTCCCTCATCATTAGTAAGTGTAGTAAAATATCTCACTTCTCAAAGTACATTACATTTGAAGTTGATCATTTATTATTATTTTTTTCTCTCTTCCTTTAGTTTTTAGTTCTTAGTAGCGCTTTATTTTGTACTGCCTAAACCTAGTTCCTCAGGAGTTGATCAAAAAGTTTTGACAATCCAAATCCCAATACAAGTCTATAATTGTATTTCTTTACAAATGAAACATGTAAAAAAACCCTGTAGACCAGATCATAAAATGCTCATAAGGGCACAAAATTTCTTCTGCTTTGTCCTTTTCTTCTCTGGCTTGTCTTACTCTTTCGTAATTATCTTGTCACTTGTGTTAATTACAGATATTTTTAACGCCACTGTGAAACTTGTCAATTTGCAATTGTTAAGAATATATTTCTGGGACAAATATTCTCCTGCTAATATGAGTCATGGTTTTAATGAGAATTATCATTTTTTGTATGAGTCATATGTTAACTTCTCCACCTTTTAAATATTCTTTCTATATTATTACCACACTTTACTATTGAAAACCCATTTACTGGATTAAATCCAATACTTGGCCAGGGCAAATTATTTTGCCAAGTGGGAAAACACTAGTTTTCAGCAGTTAGGAGAGGGTGTTGTTATGACTATGTAGAGGTTATCAGGGTTCCAAATAGCTAGTCCTATTTATTGGCTTTTGTTTAATATATGTAAGTACATACAGAACAGCGGTAATATGAAAAAGAAGAATGTCTGTATCTGTGTGGATTGCATCTCACTCTTCGTTCTCATGGAAGTCAGCTCCGGACACTGTGCCGGAATGTTGTTCCATTACCCGGGCAGCTCTTATAAAGGAGGGGGTGGCAGTGCCACCTGAGATGCTTCTGGTTTCAGCCCATGTTCTGATCTCTTCAGAGGGTTTCACCTTCTCTCTTGTGGCAGGAACATGAGTGGTCAGAGTGTAGCGCTTAGAGCAGAGAGGGGTTTTTTTTTTTTTTTTTTTTTTTTTTTTTTTAAGAAAAAAA